TAAGGCCCAAGATCGCTGCTATAATCTCTGAAGCTAAGAAGGCACCTAAGACTCTGATGAGGACTGCCCACGGTGTTTGGAATCAAATGACTTCGAACACGGGCAACCAATCACCACCCCTATGATATTTTTTGGTTGAACTTTCCATGGACTTCCTACTAGCATGTTTGATCTAGTGCCGGTGATTGGTTTCACATTTCTTTTCTGACTTTGCAGGACATGCAGGTATGAGAAAAAGGTGTTCTATTGGGCGGAGATGCATGTGAAGACTGCGAACAAGTACCTTACTAAGCGCATCGCAATTCTCCCATGATAAAATGGAATCATTGTGTTATGTTAGCACTAGTATTAGCACTCCCTTCACCTCCTGCTGCCCACTTAGGCATATGAGCCAGCTCTCAATGAATCGCAGGATGCAGTGGACCCAGGAACCTCCCAACTTTGATGACTACGCTCCTGAGTGCTTGGAGGGAAAGATGCCTGTGCAGCTTCAAACTGCTCCACCCACATCTCTTGAAGCTAAGGGGGGCAAGGGTGGCAAGGGTTCACCCCCAGTGCAGGTGGCGAAGGTCACCCCCAACAAGAGGGGTCAAATGGTTTCCCCAGCTCCATCCTACCAAGAGGCTCAATCAGCCCAAGAAGGCTGGGTTGGTGAATGTTCCTATGCTCACACCTACTTCTAAATTCAGAAAGGTCATTATGGTGACTCTGTGTTAAAACCCCAAAGACTCAACTGCTCATTTGCTTAACCCTTCAAGGTGATGATGACGATGATGAATATGAGGACTCGATCGACCCTCAAGAGCTTGCGGCTGAAGAGGCCGCAGGGAAGGAACGGAAAAAGGCAGGGATACCAGAGATCCATGTAGATGCATTGAACAGCTCTGCGGCGCCAAAATTCCTGACACTTAGCCCAAAAAAGGTTCAAGCGCTGGCACATAACTCCTATTGTTGAACATCGCCCGGTGCCAGATTCAAGTGTATTCATGTTGATTGTTGTTTCGCCTTCAGCAGCCAGCATTCCCAAGATCCGTGTGGGCCTTCTCCTGGCTCCAAGGATCTGCTTGGCCAAGCGGGTCTCCAAGCTTGACCTTGGCTATCAGAAGTTCTTGTCTGCTGACCGCCTTTCAGACTTACAGCGGAAGAGTTTCGGCTCTAACCTGGTGCAGGTGATGTATTATTGTTGTGTCCAGTCATGACTTTCTGCTACCTTGCATCTGGCAAGGATGCAGCTCAAGATCAAGGAGGTGGTCGAGGGCTTGAACGACATTTCCAGCAAAATTGAGAAACAATATCACGACGGCGTGATCGACGGATTTAGTGATGTGTCTGTGTCCCAGCTATTTTCACAGCGCCCTTTTCCAACCCTTGGTGCACAGTGCCCTGCAAACCTACTGTTTCCCTATTTCTCCAAATCTGCAAGGTCTGAAAACGAGTTGGACCTACTTTACGGGATAGCTCGGAGCAGGCCTTGTTTTACCGGCGGTTCAATTTTTGAGACTGGAAGGGGAAAGCATCTGTTTGATGTCCTGTTTCGACAGAAAACACCTTCACACAAGTTTCAACCCCATGCAGTGATAGTTTGACACCGCTCTTACCTCAGCTTTGCGAGGGCAATGGATGCATTAAGCTTGGAAAGCCGGATGAGGCCTGGATTGGCATGGGTGGTCGTTGGTGTTTCGATGGCTTTGGCACGATAGAGACATGGTTTGGACAAAGCTCTTAGTGAGAAACTTGTCCCTATAGTAACTATTAGCTAAATTAGCATCATTTAACATGAAAGGTCGGCCAAATCAAACCAAACTCCTAATGACAGTACTTGGCATGCGCCCCAAGACTTCAAACCTTCCTCACCCGTCACCCGGCTGCCCAGGCCATTCATTCCAAAAGGATCCACTTCCGGCGGGTCAAAGGGAAAGCTGAGGAGAGCGGGGAAGGGCGCCGAGGCTGCGGCCAAAGTTAGGGCCAAAGCAAAGGCAGCAGCAGCTAGCAAGTCCAAAGGTAGCGGGCCTCAGGGTGAAAGCGAGCCAAAAGGTTCCAGACCCAAGCGGGTAAGAAAGTGAGCTTTGTTTCAAACAAGTTAAGCGGTTATCAGCAAAGTATCTGTTTGTATGCTTACACCAGTGGTTGTTATAAAAGAATGGTATGAGTTGCAGGGTTTTTCTTCTGTTGAACGTGTTATTTTCTAGACGTGCAATGTGCTCGAAGCTCACTTGCTGGGGTTTCCATGCTGGGGGCAGTCTCCAAAAAGAACAAAGCAATGTACTTTTACATGTTCACACGTAGCACCTTGGTTGTGAGAGACGATCCTCTTTTGGCATGTGACTGTTCACCGCCTGTTTTTTCGAAACAGCGGCTTTCATCCTTCACGCGGTGTGAGGGCAATCCACTAAGACAGGGGTGCAGCTGTCTCAGGCTTTCGTGGCCGGCCGTGAGAGAAACAAATGAAGCGGATCCTTTAGTGCCACTTGTTTTGATAGGTGTTTAGCTTCTCCGATGACACAGTGAGCCAGGTGTTGAACAAGACGAACCACATGATGGGTTAAAAGCTGTTGCCGATGCAGTGGCTGATGGGGCCCTCAACTTAGCTCAAACACGAGACATTATGCGCCCTAACATGTGGGAGTTGGAATTTCTTATTTCACCTGGGCAAGGCCCAAAGTCAATGTTTTGTACAATGATCCAGGATTCCCACACCAGATTTTGAAGTCAAATCTTTCCCAAGCCGGGCTGAGGTCCCATGCACAACTGCAGAAGCCATCCGGCGGGGCTACACATCTAGCAAAGATGCCCCGGCCACTAGTGGTTGGAAAAAGAATGTTTCCAGAACATGCTGGAATACATTCAGGCGGATGGGGATTTCTTGGAATGTGAAGCTTAGCAACTATGACTATCGAGCACCTTCTGGAGAAGTGGTTCCCATGACTTATGTTTCCCCTATATCTTTGCTGCAATACCTCTTGGAGAAACACGTGGATGTGTTGGTTGGAGGCTTGCAGTGTCCCCAAGAAAGGGCGCAACACCTTGATGCTTTTTGGCAGGGTTTCAGGCTGCATCATGGCGACCATATGGTGTTTGAGGAGCATGGCGGTTCCCTGTCGAGAGTGATCCCATTGTGCTGGCATGGAGATGAGGGGAGAGGCAAGCGACGAGGGAATACAGTTGTCGTTTCGCTGGAATCGCCGATAGGCATTCAAACTGCGCTACAGAAAAAAAGGAAACATACTGATACTGCTGGATGTGGGTGTGGGTGCAACCCTCCGGACTCTATGAAGCAGAAGTACCACAGAGAACACAAAGAGATGCACGCTCGCACTTTGTCTGCCTTGGATTGTCAGTGGACGAACATGAAAGGTCACAGTTTTCTTCAGCACTTTGCGCTCTTCATCATTCCCAGTGTGGTGCACCATGCACACCCACAGGTGCTGCCTGAGATGTTGAAGCTGATATCTCTTGACTTCAAACGGCTCTTCTTTGAGGGCTTGACCATTGGAGGTAAGCAGTTCTGCTTTGCTCTGATCGCAGCCAAAGGAGATTTGAAGTGGTTTTGCAAGATCGCTTTGGAACGGTCATTTCAAAATCAGGGCAGGGTCCGTGACAGACCTTGTTGCCATGAGTGCATGGGTGGCTCAGGAGCTCTTACATGGGAAGACTTGAGCGAGAATCCTGTTTGGGCAAATTCAAGATATACGCAGCGACCTTGGTCAGTGCCTCCTTGTGTGATTGAAGTGCCGTTCTGTCGGAGAGCGCCTGAAAAACAGTTCAAGAGAGATCCATTCCATTGTGCCAAAGTTGGCATCTATCGGGATCTAGCTGGCAGCTGTATTTGTTGGCTTGTCGCCAAGCAGTACTACGGCAATGCTGGGGACTTTTCAGCCAAGCTGGAAACATGCCACGGGATTTTTAGATTGTACTGCACTACGGTTGGCCGCACAGCTGCTTTGCGCTCATTCAGCCGCGCCCTTTTCATGTACCCACGGTTTAGTGCATACCCGTGGGCAAACACGAAGGGCAGTGACACCATGGTTTTGCTGTCCTTCATTGCTGTTCAGTGCGCTGGCTTCATCAATGCTCCGCTCAATCCAGCTCATGTTGTTGACTTGAAGCTGATGCGCCAGACCTGCTTGGCTGCAGTTGACTACTTCTCTGTCCTCAATCACCATGGTTTGTGGCTCCGGAGGCCGTGTGCAATGGCTGCGCAGGTTGAGCTGACAAAATTTGTTGTTGGCTACGGGATGCTAGCAAGCAGGTGCTTGAACGACCAATTCAATGGTTGGGCTGTGAAGCCCAAGCTCCATCTCATGAAGCACGCTCATCTTGAAATGCATGAGTGGCTGGCAGCAGGTTTGGAGATTCTGCCAAATTACAACGTGCACAACTGCGAGCAAAACGAAGATTACATAGGACGAGTGTGTCGCCTGTCCAGGCGACTTGACAGTCGGAGGATTGGGCAACGTGTCCTTGAGTGTTGTTTCATGAAATCTCGTTTGATGCATCAACGCTTTGTAAAGGAGAACCAATTGGATTGAGTGCTGTGATTGGCACTGACGGGTTGGCTGGAAAAAGAGGTCTTGAGTCTTGACCGTGGGAAGGGACCAATGTTCAGTCAGGGCCCGATTTGTTTGAGCATGTGAGGGCCCGACCTCAACCTTTCTATGTTGCATCATTCTTTGGATGTTCAGTCAGAACCTTGGGGGTGGGAAAGCGGCGAGGCTGCAGGCGAGAAGGAACATAATGAAGCTGTGTTCATCAAAGATAAATCAAACGAACCAAAAAAAAACAAACGAACTAAAATAATTGCAAACGCAAAAAAAACACAATGTTTCAACTTCGAGCGATAATTTCGCACGACCGGAGGTTGTAGGTATGTTTATCAACAACCCTATATACCGTGGAGCTGGTCTATATCAAGATGCTTTTAAATGCTGTACAAACAGACCCTATATCAGCCATCATGTATACGGTTCGTTCGCTGTGTGCCGCCTGTGTTCGTCACCAAGGACCTGTCCGAGACCAGCTTAGCCAGCCGCGTGTGCAAGAGTGACGCCGCGCTGATCCTGTCGACGCCCCAGGCGGAGCTCGTGGACCACATCAACAGCCACTCGGAGGAACACGAGCAGACCGGGGCGACCGACCCGGCCGTCCCCTTTGTTGGGGCGACCGTGGGCAGCCAGTGAGGATCAATGAGGTGTTCGCCACACTCAGAAACCCAAGGGGCAAACTAGTAGCGTCCTTGCTTCTAGTATCGATGCCAGGAGCTCCTAGTAGCGATGCCAGGAGCCCCTAGTAGCTTTTGGCTCCTTGTAGTAAGGCCAGGAACCCCAAGTTTTTCTGGGTTCTATAGAATCTGTTATGCGTTTATTCATGGGATTTCAGATGGGTTCACTGGGCATACCCTGCACCGCCACACCGGCCTGCGAAGGATGAGTTGGTGTTTGGTGGGGTGGGCAGTCCAAAAGTGTGTCTCGGGCAAGTGGGTTCAAGCCTCTTACCAGGGCGCCCTAAGGGGTGTTTATAGCCCCTCATTAGAGGTTAAGGGTGATCAATGAACCCCCTAGGAGGCCTTCCTATGGCATTCCCAAGCACCTACTGAGACTTCTGACTCTCTGGCTCCCTGTCGGAGCGGTGTCCGGCCCACCCGCGAGGCTTTCTAGGACTCCAGACCGGGGAGTTCAAGCCGGGCTTCCTTCAACCTGGCATCCTCCTGTGTATGCTTTGCATCCTCCACTGGGGCCTTTGTGCCTGGGCAGATGACTCCTCAAGATGGGGTATATAAAAACCACCTTTTTGGGGATTGTGCTTCTCAATCCGCGATATTTCTAAACATTCTTAACGCTCCGCGTGGAACACCGCGGTGCACGGCAGCGATGTGTCGTCCCAGTGCACGGAAGCGAGGTCCAAATGGTCCGCTTGGGGGCGGTAGATCGGGCGAAGCCAGATGAAGATGGCCGATCCCAGATGTGAAGACTTTTGTTGGTGAGATCAGTAGAGCTGCGTTCTATGCTAAATATATAGCTCGCGGAAGTTTTGCAGGCTTTGGTGTCGGTTTGGTCGATCTGATGACGGAGGCATTGTTTTTGAGATTGTGACAACGCCGTAATACATTGCAAACACATACCCGTTGACTGATGGTTTATGAAATGAGGATCCTTTGCGCTTACAAAATGCTCGCTCCAACGTGCATATCATAAACCATCAGTTTGGGGTCTTTGCAAATCTACAAGTTGAGGTTAATATTGCCTCCACATTTTGTATAAATCAGAGGGTTTCAGAGATTCGGTGTGTGGTCAAAAATCAATTGTGATGTCAGGGAAGGCATTCTGTATAAGGGCTGGATGCCCAGGAAAATCATTAACTGAATGCTGCGCAAGGCATTTTGTATAAACTAGTGGTTGGAGATGGTGTCTTTCAACTTTGGTTAAGTGTTGCTATACTATGCATTTTGTGTAAGCAGGCCTTTTTCCTCCAAATCTGAACATTTCTACTGTGTAATGTATTGGCATGATATAACAACGATGGATCTCGTTATAGCGACAATATCCTTTACACACATATCATAAATCCTGTGTGTTTGCAGAATGAAAATCCACAGACCCATTGGACAAACAAGGAGTATGCAAACACTTCAATGCACACAGAGACTGTCACTTCCGAACGGTGAAAGTTATGCGGTTCTGAACCATTAACTAATGAATACAAATCCGATTTTGTTACCCTAAACTCTCTAAACCAACCCTGAATACTGAATGCTTGGGCTTGAGCAAACAGCAAGCAAACCTCAACTGTGATCCATTCGCATCTGTGCTTCTCCATACCTATTTCAATAGCAACTCCAACCACAAAAAGGAAGAGCCTTTACAGCAACTCCAGCAAAGCTGTACGGATTCAAGCGTTTCTTGTGTTGACCATTTTTGTTTCGTGTCTCAGGTGTGTACAAGGAGTTCCGCAGCATTTGGTCTACATTGGAAGCAGTGGCCACCATCCCCCGGTCCTCACGAACCACAAAAAGCGAGCACTACATCCATTCATTGTCCCTCGCTCGTTTTATCGTTTTTTTCCTCACCTGCGTGGTGCGCGCGGCCATCGCAAGCATCTTGCTGATGGCCGGAATCAACTGGCTTGCTCGAACCTCATCCATTGAGGAGCTCATGCTGAACGCTGTAGCCCTCAACGGGATCATGGACGTAGATGAGCTGCTCTTTGCGGCTTTTACACCACTGTCCATCCAGCACCAACTACAACGCCTGCGGCCCGTGAAGATGAAGTACACCAGTGGACGCAGTCAGAGAGAATCGGTGGTTTTATTCTTCCTGTTACTGGCCACCGTGCTGATTCCCTATTTCGTACTCTTGCAGCCCTTGGGCGATGGGATGCTCGAGATCAAGAAGGACGGGTGGACCGTTCTGCAGTTGCTCGAGTCTTCGGTCTCCGGACTGGCGGACTGGTGGACTGCCACCGATGTCGCACCGATGTCGCCCCCGGGCCCGGACCGGAGGCTGCCCGGACCCACGAGTGGTTCGTTGGAGCGAATTTCGCCTCCAAGACACCCGCGGGACACATCGGACACTCACGAAACCGGTCGCGGTTTTCACTCCCAATTCCTCGAGATCGTTCTGGCCTGGGGATCTGGGGTTCCAAGGCCGACCTCCAGACTGGAGGTCCAGGTAGGGAGCCACCCGGCCGTGACCTCTCAAACTGCTGGGCCTCTCGTCTCGTGGCCGGGTTGGGGGGCTGCGGCCGGTGCTTTGCTCGGTGGCGTGCAAGGATGTTTAGGCAAAAGACGGGTCATAGCCATGGCACTGTCGTTTACTGACTGTCAGAGGTAATCGTAAAATATGGTAAATAGATGTAATTACTGCAAGTAGATGATGTTTAAATTGTACTATATTGTCATCGTAAGTTTCAAGTCGTAGGCCAATGATTTACATTTAAGTTTACTATCAACTATCAACTTTTCAGATCTTAGAGCAGGCCATTTAGTTCTGCTATGTTTTGCTTCAATCGCTCCTTGGTAGCAGCATTCGATCTCGACAGCGTCCGGCCGAGATCGGCTCGGTCCTGAATTGGGGGTTCCCACCAAACGAACCCGGAAAGTCTCAGTGGTCAACGAACCGTTCCACCAGGAGATGTGTGGTGGGAACTTGACCTTCGTGGTGGGCTACAACCCCGACGTCCAGGAGGTGGTGGGCTATGTGACCCAAGCGGCACGCAGTACCGAGGAGCAGTCCTTGAGTGAACTTGCGGTGAATCAGCACAAGTTCCTGAATCAGCAGGACCAGTTTCAGGGCAAGACATGTGTTACAGTGTTACAGCTGGGCATTTTCGCACAATTACACTCCGAACTAACATGGTTACGTGGATGGCCCCGAAATGGAAGACCATGAAATCCACTACAAACAGGTGGTTTTCACTCCACGTAACCATGAGGACGTTCCAGGGAGAGTAGGACTTTTAATCTTTCGCCCTCCCAGAACGGTTTTACATCTCCACACGGGCCAGTTCAACAGTCATTTCAACAGTCTACATTGGATGCCATGTTCGACGTCGTGTCTGACATGCTCAGAGCAAATGAACACTATAACCCTGGTCAGCCGCATCCCTGGTCAGACGGACCCTGAGCATAGACATTAACAGGTCCTCTTCCGAAGACACACTTATCTCTAAATAAATAAGACGAACAGTGATCCAATGGCACACCCCACTCCAACAAACATGGAAGTGGAATGAAGTGGACAATGACCTGTTGCTAGAGGAACATGGCCTTTCCACTTCCATGATTGTTTTGCAGGTGTGTACATGTTTAGTTTTGGTGGTGTTAAGCATACAGGTATAGAACCATATGAAAGAGACATGAAGATGCCGACGGCCGCAGTGGAAACGGCATACTGTAATTTAAGTTGCTGGGCCAGACTGGTCTAATTCAAGGTTTGCTAGTTTCTGTTGGGTTGGTTTTCATGCTAGCATGTGAGTGTGGTCCGGTGTGACACCCTTGGTACCACCCATGGTTTTTCTCTTGGCGGTGGGTGTTTTCATGTTTCGCCAGGTGAGGCGTCCGATGACTCATTGGACGTTGTTTCTCCCCTGCTCACGTTCAAAGACCTGCGGCTGAGATGATGTGCGCTGTTGTGTATTCATATCCTGGTTTCGCTTAAGGTAAGTTGTTTCTAAATATTTCCGTGTGGTTAAATCCCCTTCTGGTGAATCTGTTGCGTGATTTTCCAGGTTCCGCAAATCCAAGAATATGTGTTAATGTCATTGAGACTTGTTCCCATCGGTCTCCCGATGTTGGAGTCTTCCGTAACTCCGCCCCGGCCGCTGAAGCAAATCCGTGGCCAGGTGTGGGGAACTGGTTGTGGAAGCCATAGAGGAATGCACCAATCATCCGGAAAGCCCTCTTCGTTTTAGACACAACCGGGCCCTGGGAACTGGTTGGACCATCTCAGAAGAAAAGATGCACCCTTAATGTAGACTCTTCATCAATCACCCACTTCAGGAAGAATTTCCAATTCAAATTGGGGTGGGTTTATTATCTACATTTTAGGATTTGAGGGTTGCCAGGACATGAGCTCCACGAGCTACATCTACTTCACTCCCAACCGGGCCCTCTTCGAAGAGCACCGCCTGCAAAGCATCGCGGAGCTCACGGCAGCTTGCTTCCAACGGGTCCCAACAGGGGGGTCAAACGGGCGTGAAGTGGTTTTTGCGGTACGAAAGGAACCACGTTTCCAGGAAACAGGGAAGAAAACCCGGGCCCCGGACCATGCGAACGGTGCCGGCCTCTTCTACTCTTGGGACTTTCATTGGACACGCTCGGGATGGTGTAGGTAGGCAATGGTAGTAGGCAATTGTTGGTGTTGAACGGGGGCGATAGGCTTTGGGGGTTGTCTCATCAAGTGATCAGTAGTAGATGATGGTATTCAATGGTATTGGTCTAAGTATGTGGTGTTTATTGCTTGCTTTGCTTTACTCTCACTTGCACACAATAGCTTGCCCCGGGTTTGATGCTGATCGGGCAAATTTTGGACCTCAGATGATTGCATGTACACACACACATATATATATATATAAATGGGACTTTGTCCATGACGTTGCACTTTAGAAGCAGAAAAAAGCCAGTGGCCCCTGTTCACCCACATCAATTCAACTGGGTGTAAGTTGTAAGCGTGGTTATAGCCAGAGTTGGTGCAACTCAGAATTTAACCTTTGAAGCTCAGATCTTGTGCTACAAGGATCCTGTTCGTTGATTTATGTGATGTTGCACACGGCAGGGCGCCGCGGCCCAACTCAGCAGGCTTCAGGAGAACGGAGAACGTAATTACATAGAATGTTCTAAATGCTCACGTTATATGTACATGTCTAAGTATATTCATCATATTTCATGATATTTTCAATATATGATATGTATTACAATATTGAATCACATTTTCATTGTATATTATACTGTATGTATATATATATATAGGAGTAGAGCCAGATGGCCTGTTCCAGGATTTGGTGCCCAGTTTTTTGTTCGAGGAAAGCAAACACAACATCTCTTGTTTGACGCCATCTCATGTTTTCTTATGTTGATTAAATGAGAAGTCCCATATATGGAGACTCCTTTCTGTCCAAATGTGTTCTTTCATATCAACAGTCTGCAGTACATATTCAGGGACATTATTTTTTCTGCAGAGCACTCTGAGGCCCGCGAGAACTCACATGTAAAACAAAGATGCAACGCGCGAGGATCATCGGATCATGGAGAGTTTGACAGGGACACCGGGCACCTGATGAGCATGAATGCGGCCTTGTGGTGTCAACGGCCTTGCGGGTCTCAGCACAGAGCTCCAAGCTAGCATGAGCAAGAAGACACCAACCACGCGCAGGAGAAGAAGGGTTTATCAGAACCAAAGGCACTGAGTCTACCAACATTGAAGTCGTTCAACGGGTCATGCTTGAAACAATTAACACTGATTCCCTTGCGTTTGAAGTGGGAGCTGAATTCTACTGGGAAGTCAGGAAACCGGCGTTGCCAATGTCGAGCAACATGCCTCAGTGTCTGCGTCGCAGGCCCAACACAAGCCATTTTGAAAGGGAATTGGCGCTGCGAAAGCTTGTGCAATCTTTGGAGATTGAGCTTGAATTTGGGAGAACATGGTCACAGTCACTGCCCATGCGCAGCAGGCACCAACAAACTTGCATTCTAGATGACCCAGCCCCACTGCTTGGCGCCTTCTACAATCGTTGAAGAGCAGACATCATGAATCAAGAACAGGACGGCGCCCACTAGGTTTACTGTATCAAGAGAGCGGGTGTGCTTGAGCGGGTGTACACTAGCTCGAAATCTATCAAAACACTGTAAATGCTATGCAATTTGTTTAAAACAACTCCTCTGAAACCTAGGCGAAACGCATATTTTCCTATCTTCCTGTGCCAAATTCCTATACTATGTGCAATGCCAATGTGTAAAATCAATGATAAGCATTATTATTAGTTTGACCCGTCTTTGTTCAATATCAATGACTGCCTGGTAATTTGTATTCATTTGTTCTCAATAGCGGTCAAAGCTGTTTGGATTTGAATCTTGAAAGGTTTGATATCAGATATGCGGACTTCAGCTTCAACTCTCCCCTCAGCAACTTCACCTTGATCCCAAAGGATTTTTCTATTGTTCCATGCAATAGATTTTACGATTTTACATGTTATAAGTTATAAGTGATTCTTTCTATTCTTCCATCTATGCTTTATATAATTTCTTTGATGTCCTTTTTCATGGGTAAACAGCAATCCAAATAACACATATTTAATTTCTGTATGAATTTGGCTTTGGCTGGCATCTTGTCCAAACCAAGAGAACCAAGAACCATGACAAGGCAACCAAAAAGAATAATATATGGTGTATCATTCTTAGCAATGACACAGAAATCAATCAAACTTCTTGTGCAAAACAACTTGACCAAGAAAAAGGCCTTGTGAAGATTGAAGCAGCCTTCCTTTTTGGTGCTCAATGGTACGGCACGATTGAACGTGTAGAACACCTAAAGCAACACAGATACAACCTACTGGAACAATAGAAGCACTTATTGAAGCAACAGAAACACTTATTGAGACAGGACACCAGGTAGAAGTTAATTGATGCTGTTGCAACTTGGTCTGGCCCATTAGCTTCTTTAGTACTGCGTTCCTTTATTTGGATCTTGATGCTCTTAAGAAGGCAACGTTTGTAAAGAACAAAGTAAATAATTGTGAAGGTTTTCTCAGCCTTAAATGCATTAGTGCTTATAGAAAACAGTTAGGCAAGACATACATTACATACACACCCCTACTGAAGCAATTGAAACGCCTTTTGAGACAGCGAGCCACAAAACCTAGGTTTTGACCTATTGTTTCGCTTCAATTGTTCAGACCAGGCCCGCAGAGGTTTAGAGGGAATACCCAAAATCAAAATACAAAAAATACACACAAAACAAAAAAAAACACAAAAAAACACACAAAAAAAACATAAAAACCAATGTTTGAGACAAAGTGAGGGCAACACCAAAAAAACAACTCCAAATCCTGTAGTACCATCATTTTCTCTCAAGCAGTGTTTTTTGTATTCTGTTTCTTCTTGTATTCCCTCAACTTTTGTCGGCCTGGTCTGAACAATTGAAGCCACACAATAGCTCAAAACTTAGGTTTTTGTGAGGTTTCAGCCACAAAGCACCGCAAAAACACACTGCTTTAAATCTTGTTTTGCATTAATAACAAAAATTGAAACATTTCAAGCCCAAAACTGCTGTAAAGCACAACACGTCTCTCAGGAGCACCCACCCGTTCTGTTTATCAACCTTCAGGGGGCTGATCATCCGGGACTGAAACGGAGCTCGGCTCGCGCTGCTAGAGTTGCAATGATGTGGCATCGTACTGATAGTGACTGATAGTGCTTCGGAAATTGGATGGTTTAACTCATGATTCATGAAACTTCTGGTTAAAATAACGAAGAATCACTTTCTTCACTGCCTCCTCAGCGGACAGGAACTCCCAAAAGTAAGAAGAGGCCCTGGGACATTGGTATATGTGCATTCTATTGAGGTCCGTAATCAGCCTGCAGTCGACCGAATATGGGCAATCCACAAGAGTATAAGTTTTTTTTCCTATTAAACTCATGTATCTGAAAAGCAGGTGTGCGTCCACTACCTTTTATTCCTTGCTCCGAGCTAGCTGGTGTTTGCATCACTCTGACCGTCATCTTCACGCAGCCCTTTGCGTGACCCGGGGCACCGCGGGACAAAGCGCGCGCCGCCTGAGGAGAAGATCCCCTTTTGCATCGAGAGAGCCACCTGGCGGCGGCAGGGAGCCGAGGTGGGAGTTCCCGGGCGAGGCTCGTGGGCGCTTTGGGCCGAGGTGGAAGGGTTTTCACAAG